CACCGGAAGCCCGGCTAGCTTTCGTTCACCCCCTCTGGCCTCAAGTTTAGGTTGGCCTGCAAGCCAACCATCCTTCACCGTTCCTGCCCCCCCAAAAAGGGATAGATAGATCATAATGGATGTTCATCCACCGATTTCAGTACGTCCCTTGAGGCAGGATCCGTCCTTACTGCGGGTGAACCAACTGAAGGACCGGACCTCCAACCGGCCGCGCTCCTTCGTCCCACGTGACTCGCCAACGCGTTCCGCGTTCCACGGGCCGCGCGGAACGGAACCACGCTCCAGCTCCATCGAGTGCTTCGACCCGCACAGAGGCTTTTGGAGGCGACGGTGTGACGTGCGCGACGCGACGGTGATGGGAGGTCGGAGGGGTTGCTGGGGCGACGGCGCCCCGTGGGTTGGTTGGCCACTCACCACTGGAGCTGTGGAAACGGTAGAGGTCAGTCCCACTGATGCCTCACGATGGAGCGCTTCAGTCTTGCTTGTGTGGTCCAGATTTGGTATGTCCTTCTTTTCACCCCACAACGGTTTCCTTCAAACATGTCCACTAAAGGGCGCAAGTTCAGATCAAACTCCTTGGCTTGTCCTGGATTTCTTCCGTTCAACCTTTCTGGCGGCTAGGCCGGAAAAGTCCCCCTCGCAAGCGTCGCTCCAAACGGTTCCAGATTTCATGGGAGGAAGCCAGCTCCGCCAGGAAGCTCCGCTCCATGCTGTCTCGCCGCGCGGGCGCCGCCTGCGTGCGGGCGCCCGGACAATGAACTAACTGGGATGGTCTCGCACCTTGGCGACGAGTGGTGTGGACGACCGGTGGTGTGACGCACACAGAGGTCCGGGTCCCGGTCAAAGGGATGCTCGAAGTTGATCGCACCCCACAGTCCTCTTGCTGGAAGGTCTCCTGGGTGTAGCACCTTCAGAGACTCACTGGTGGCCGGGGTTTCTTGGCGATACCAGGACCAGGCGATACCAGGCTGAGTGAACTGACCATGCAACTGACCATGCGAGCTTGAAGGATCCGACTGCTGAGCTCGACTATCCCAGTTCGGTACCCCAACTGAGTCGGGTCCTGTCCGGTCCATTCATCCACTGGACGTGGCGAGGCCGTGGTCAGTGGCCAGCTCTACAGCCCGCAGCCTCAGCGAGCGCGGAAGAGGCGTGAGGTGAGACATTAAGACGTGTGATTGGAAAAACGCATCATATGACATGCAATACGCCAGGGCCCCCCCGGTTGGGGGTGCTTAATGGATACCCCGAATCACCTCTAAGGAGCTATAATTAGACAGAGGAACTGGTGCAGTGAAAAGGCATAGGTCCGTAGATGTGATGCAGTTGTGAGGCTGTGAGGCCGAACGTGTCTTTTCGCGGTTTGCTCCCCCCAAAACTGCGAGCTGGAGTCCGTGGCCAGCCCCCAAATGTAGCTTGATTTTGCGCTACAACACCAGGGTCGTCCCTCATGTTTTGAATGGTCCAACGGGTTCGTCTCATGGCCAGGGGTCACAAGACGGGGTGGTGTTGAGTCCCCATCCATGGCTGTGGCTGTGTTCAGGGGCACCCCCGACGACCGGATCGCACCCCCCTAACCTCACGTGACCCTTTGGGGTTGGTTTTTCGTTGAGAGGACCACAACCACCACCGCCGGAAGCCGGAAGGACACGTCACCGTGCGACTCGGTGCCCCGAAGAAGGGCGCTGCGCGATGCGGGCCACACGGGGGCCGATGCTCCCGAGCCGTGTCGGGTTCGACCGGTGGTCGATGTCTCCGGCACGAAGGCACCCATGTTGGGTCGAGTCCTGTGGGCTTCCAGTTTCTGAGCATCTTTTTTCGCATGTGGGCTGTTGTGCCTACACTTGTGCTGGTAAGCTCTGAATGACAGCGGAAGTGAAGAGGGCGACCGCAGCTCCAAATTCTTCAGGCCTCAGCCTTCCCCCCCCCTCCCCGGCAGACCGCGGCCTTCGTTGGTGGTTTTCTCTATCTCTCCGCGCGTCGGCCGAGTCTGTGGTGGCTACGATGGCGCGCAGAACCTCCAAGAGTGTGAGCGCTTGGACCCGGCGCAAGGCGCGGACCAGCGCGGACGGCGGACCGCGGACCGCGCCCGGTGACACCGCGCCAGACTCCGACTTGGAGCTGGTCCTCTCGGGGTTCGGGGAAAGAAGCCGCGCCGGACGAGCAGTTGCTGGTTGGGTGGGAAATGGATCAGCTACATGACCCTCCTGCTTGAGCCACGCAGTGGTTGCAAGGGAATTGGGGGACACCTCACTCAACAAGAGCAGGTGGAGTTCGTTCGGTTCATTTTTTTCCATGCAAACCGAGGGCCGCAGGGTTGGTCGCCGGGTCACAAGAAGGGGAGTCCATGGAGTCGAAGAAGGTCCAGCCGATCGTCAGCGATTTTGGGCGTCCCAAGGATCTTGGAAACCAAGACTCCGGTATCTTCCCATCCTCATGAAGTCGGGTTCTTTTCCGTCATGACTTCCCAGCAGCACAGGCGCAGGAGACGCTCAGGGGACATTCTGCTGGGACCCTGGGACGCACTCCGGAAGACCCATTGAGTTGTTCAGGCCGCTGCGATGGAGTGAGTAGACCGGACACGGAAGCCGTGCTCCGCCTCGCGCCACCCTCGCGCCACCCGCGCCCCTTCAGGCATGTGGGAGCTCCTACCGTCGATGCCGCGGCGGTGTGGATACTGCGCGCCTTGGGCCGTCAAAACCATCTTGGACGCGGTGACCGCGGTCGTTGGACGCGGGGAGGCAGCTCCGTAAGCTTTCGAAGGTATGCGCGGCAGACCTGTCAGGGTTCGAAGGTATGGGCGGACTTCGAAGCCCAAACCTCACGCAACATCGCCCGCGGTGTTTGGGTTTCTTGCCAAGAGCCAAGCGCATATGAATAGATGTTGGTACTACAAAAGCTAAGCCCGACTCTGGATTGGACCCTCTGACTAATGTTTTTCAAGTGGGTTGAACATGTTGAAAACACCAACCGGTGTTGGTATAAAAGCTAAGACTCCAAAAGTCCAGTTTTGCCCACCTGGTCCCCTGCCCCATTCCGACCTTTCTCCGACCCAGGCCGGCGCCTCCTCCTGATCAATGTGACCGGGCAACAAAACTGGGGGGCAGAAGGCGCCAGAAGGCGGTGTCGTGCAAGGAGATGTGGTTACGTGGGTTGAAACCCTAATCCCCTTCAGATGTGAATCAACCTTCCAGGTAGGGGGCTCTTGTCAAGCAACGGTCAACAGTACCATCCACGTGAAAGCAATGGAAAACAAGGGGCTCTCGGTGACACCTTTTCCCATGACGGTGTGTTTTGGTCCTTGGTTGTTGGTTCGTTCATTTTCGGTGGTCAACCAGGTTTGGATCCACCATTTCTAAGCATGAGACATAGTCCGTTGTAGAAGTCGAATCAGTCTAGAGATGCTCGAAATCCAGACGCAACTGGCGGTGAGTTCTCCGGAGAGAACTCCTCGCCTTGCCTCGGGCCTATCGGACCTATGAGGGGGTGTCCCAAATACCACCTGTGTCGCTCCACTGGCACCGATTGCATTGATTCGCGCGACCGAGGAACATGCTCCGTCGTTCGCATGCGTTTCGGCGGCGTGGCAAAGCACTGAGAGAAGTCGAGAGGAAAAGGGATGCGAGGTCTTGGTGTCGATGTCATTTCCATGTCCCAAGACCTGCCCCAGACCTTTTTGGTTCGGCTTTACCACTTGAGGCAGTGTCCCCTGACAGTTAGATGGACATGTCCCTTTGATGATGTCCATGAAGCAGAAGAAGTGTTTGTTGGTTTGCCCATGGACTGATGCTGAAGGGCAATGAGTGAAGAGGGAGTCCGCGGGGCGTTCTGAACGTCTTCCAACGTTGGCGGCGGCGGCCGGAAAGACCAAATCGGAAGACCAAATGGCAGGGGATGGAGGAATCCTCCACTTTCATGGGTAGGCCTTGCAGGGAGGGTAGATCGATGCCGAGAACATGGTCGTCAAGTGGTCATCTCATGCCATGGCATGACCTACGGCGTTGTTTGATTGGAGGGGAGGCCCAACAGTCCCAGCCGTGTAATAGGGTCATATAGTTATATATATATACATATATATGTCATAGGGATTCATAGGGTATTTTGTGGTACCTGGAGCTGAGCCCGCTGTGGCACCTGGTGCGGTCTCACGGTCTCGGAATTGGTGGAATTTGGCCCGAGACACGTCCAGAGGCTTCATGGGAAGAAGGCGATCAGGTGACCTATGTGATATCCCTCTTGATCACACTGGGCAAGGAATGATCGGCCAATTGGTTTGATGACACATTTATCAGGCAATCTCAGATATCACAGACATGACACATCCAACTTATCATTACTTTGACCAACTTGGCCATTGTTGATCATTGATCATGGGTGCCCTGGACTCCAGGTTCTCCGATTCGTCACTGGGGACCTGGTGGGCAGACACCACGATCGCTCATTCTCACCCGGGTGAACGCGCCACGATCGCACACCCCCGCCATGGATGGGCAAGAGGAATTTGCAGAGGTGGGAGGGCGGTCTCGGAGTTCGCAACTCCTTCTGTTTGCGCAGCTTCTAACACAGAGTGGTTCCCCGCGTTCCGAAGCTCGACGGTTCCGTCATTCATTGCTGGTCCGCTTGAACGGCTGGGTCGATGGGGGGTGTTGACCCAGGTTACCCGTTCCGTGCTCCACGTTTGTTGAGGGATGTTCACCCCTGACGATCTTGTTGGATGTACACATCAGCACCGTCAGCCCTTCGTGGTGGTGGAGACCTGGGTGTGTTACATTCGGTTCAGGGACCTTGGAGTGAAGAGGGAACTGAAGAGGGAAGGAAGTCATTACAGTCAATTGAGTTCACCTTTTACAAGAAGGGCTGCTGCTACAAACGAACAGAAACGAACTGATGGTGGTCCCAAAATAGATAGTACGTGGCACGATTTCCGATACATTTTGAACGGTGTTTCACTTTTCGGTCCTCTCTCTCTCTCTATTTTTGCCCTATCTATCACCGCTGCTGCCAACGTCAGGTTGCTGGCCCAGAGTGCCAACCTAGAAGAGCTCATAGCCATCGCAGCCGAGTGGCACGGCCAATTTAAGGAGTGTCAGGTGAGAGGGTCGATTTCCACTGCTTCTATTGGGTTTCATGACCTTTTTTTTGGCTTTCTGCTGTTTCAGGATTGTTTTCTTTTAAAGGTGATTTTTGTGCTTAAAATCGTGGGGTACATGACATGGGAATTGTTTGAGCCATCTCGGGGCAGATCCTGGTCCTGCCGTAGTGCTTCTTCGGGGTTTCAGCCTTTCATTTTCGCCGTCCAAGACGGCTTCAGAAGAAAGATTCTTTAGATGAATTGTTGGTACGCAAGTCAAATTTCGTCCAACAACAACTTATACTGTGAGGCTTTGAGTTCCAGTAGTGCTTTGCTCGTGGTGCTTTGCACGACCTTCGGTTTTTTCTCCTCTGTTCGCCACAGCCAGATGGGCCGTCCCCAAAAGCGTTTCAGAGCATCTCAAAGACCTTCATATTTCCGGGTGGCACCCCTCGTGGGAACCTCTGGGAGGCAGGAATATAAGTAGTGGGTCGCAAAGTCTAGAAAGTAAAACCCCCAAACAGTGTATATACATATATGTATACTGAGAGATGCCAAGAGCAAAGCTTGTGGATTGTTACTAAGAGTTCTTCTGGGAAGTGGATGTAGCCATTTTGGGCATTGGTTTCTTACTTCTGGCCTTTTCCAAGCAGGTGGATGGCCCTTCTTCCATCGCCAGGCCCAATTGACTGCACCCTCCGAGGTTCCGGCCGCTACACAGGCCGGGCTCCCCGCACGCGTGGGACTCCGCGTGGAGTCAGGTCAGGTCGTCAGTCCCACCGTCCGGACGCCGAGACGTTGCAGAGCTTCGGTCCTGGAAGCGCGTTGAGCGTTTGCAGCTGCGAGTTGAGGGCTTCAGGCTCCTGGTCTATGTGCTTCTTAGGTTTGGGTTGAATAGTTTTTGTTCCTTTCCCGGCTCGCCTACATCCAAGTTAGTGGCTTGCCCCTACCAGGCCCACAGTCCACGACCCATTTCGCGGCCTGACGCCATCAGGTGGCTCCCGATCTCCCATGCCACGGCCTGGCACCGCCTGCAGAAGTTTGGCGCCCGTGGCCGTGGTGCCATCCCCCGCAACGGTGGCGCGCTAGCGCTGGCGCGCGAGCTGACCGAGGCGACTGCGAGCTGACCGGGAGTTCTTGGAGCGGGACGGGCGTTCGAAGGCGGTTGAGAAAGGATGAACTAAGGAGGAGATTCTTGTATGCTCAGGTTCTCAGGTTCGCGGCCGTTTCTTTTTGGGGGGATGGTGTGGCAATTCACAAGCCAACCTGGTACCTGTTGTAGTTACTTCTCTGGGGTGGAGTTGGGCGACATGAACACCCTAACTCCCTCCGCCTGACCATGTCATGGTTCTTCTCCAAAATCCTGACCTCCGCCCCAGGTCAGGGCTGAACCCGCTTCCACCGTCATAACTTGCTATTCATGCTTGGAGTTTTCTCCGGTGGCACCGGGAGAAGTGGCGAAGAGTTCAACTTGGGCGTGCACAAGGTTCGACATGTACCAAACACCAAGGCTGCAGACATAAACTCCCAGGTTGGAGGCGGTTCTTTCGGACCTGACCTCATGCGATCGTGGTGTTTTCTGGTTTCTGGGGGTCGACTGAGTCTGATGCCGCCATGGCGGTCGTGCCTGCATAGTGTGGGACCTCCGCCACCAGTTGCACCTTTGACCGGACCGTGCTCCTTCTCGACCCACCCCAGGTTCGCAGAACAGCTTCCCCCCCCCCAAAGTTCTCACCCGGCTCGAACGTCTCGGTCGATGCTTCGTTGCGCCTTGGCCCGGCTCGAGGGAGGAGGTTTCGAAGGAATCCACCGGAGCGTCGAGGGAGACGCCGCCTCGACGCCAACTCATCCTGCTCCGCCCACAGCCGATTCGCGGCCGGCGCGGCAGGCGTTCCCCGACGTGGCCCGGCTGGATGTCGCGGTCGCCCAGAAGGATGGACGGGGGCTGGGTGGACGGGGTTGGCCTGGATGCAGCTCGAGGGGGTCTTCAGTCACATTGGATCACATTGGACAGCCGAAGAAGAAGCAGGATGTGAGAAGGACCCTCCATGTGGCCCGCCGGAGGCCCTTCATGTGGGCGACCGGAGCCCCGTCGGCCTGGCATCGGAGAAACACCTGGTGGTGTTCGGGGTCGAGGATCGAGGTTCGTTTTGGGAGGCTTCAGCATGGGCAATCAGCCACCTTCTTACAGGGCACCCCTCCACCTGTGCGGCGTTCCGGACGCACCCGTTCCATGCGGCAGCCCCCCCGAGGCGCGGGGCGCGGCGAACATCTTGTTCGCCTGGGCCAGCCTGCGCTTTCGCGAGGGGCGCGGAGGGGGACCCGTGCGGCGGTGTGCGGGAACCTTTGTGACTGCCATTGGTTCGGCGGCCGGAGTGGCGACATGCGGCGATCAGGTTGTACACCCTGAGGCGTTTTGTAGGGGTTTTCAGAGCTCCATGGGCCTCCAAAAGTGTCAAAGAAGAAGGGTCTCATTCAAAAGCACTTGCACAAAGAACCACTTCATAAGCCTTTTTTGCTTTGTAAGGGGGATTTGCAACGCCTTTCGCGCGTCTTCCCAGGGACCGTGGGACTGAACCAGGTCTGCGACCGCACGGCTGCACTTGCGACTGGCTGCGCAGCACTTGGCTCGGCGTTGCGCAGCACGGATTTTACATTCACCATCTGATGCAACTTATTTTTTGGGGGGAGGCGTTGCAAGGTACCAGGGGCCCGCAAACCATCAAAGACCCGGTTTTCTCTAGCAAAACACATGGTTTTTGTATGTGAAAACCTTTGTTTTTCATGGTTTTGAGGGCCCCTGGTAAGGCATGGTTTTTGAGATGTTCTCAGCCGATTCCAAGCCGCCTTTCCATGTCAGATCTAGGATGAGCATGGTGTGCCCTCCCTAGTAGAGACACTCCTGTAGTAGATACACTCCCACTTTTCACTAGCTTATTGAGACGGCCCAGGTGGCGGATCATCAGGATGGTTTCTATGGGATGTTTCATGCAACCGTCGCCCTGGTGCTTTTTGTTTTGCACCCACTCTGACACCCATCATTCGCTGGAAATCCGCGCCCCCCTGGACCGGAGTGAGTTGCAATCCCATGCCCGCCTTTCAGCCACTCCACCATTCCCATCCTCAGTTGGTTTGGTGGCCTTTGGCCTTCTGCCCAATCCGACGACGCCCATTTGCACCACTTCCTCCCCCAACCCGTGGCGGGGTTGGCCATGGCGGCATGGTGTCTCCTTACAGCGTGTTGCGCTTGCAGGCGCGCGTCCCGCGACGCTCGAGCCGCGGTCACGGTTCGATCCCGAGGGGCTTGGGGCGAATCCGACGTCAACGCCGGGGGGAGGGGGTCCGGTCAAGGACACGAACAGCCGGGCGGTTTTTGTGGACCACGAACAGCTTCAAAGTCCCCACAAGGTCTCAAGGCAAGGGCTTCCCACCAGCAGTGTAGTTGGGGTGCCCCTGTCACATCCACTCACTGGATGGGACGAGCCAAACCACCCAACTCCATGTGACTCCTGGCCAAACAGTCTTCTGGCCCTTTTGGAGACTGGGTTTTCATTTCGCTTTGCCTCGGCGACCCCGACCCCCACCCGGCCCAACGCCGCCCGCCAACCGCGGCACGACGGGTGGAGCTCTTGAAAGCACCAAGATTGGGGTAACTTTAGTGCTATCTACTCCTGACACCACTGCATTCATGAATGTGTGGAACCAGTTTTCCACCAGCAGCCACTTCCTACGTAGACTACGCGTAGTGGATCCCGGCGCGGCGGCAGTCCAATATCAAAGTAGGACATTGTGCTCAATCCAAAGCGTTTTCAACTGCACCCACAAAAAATCCACTGTGGGAGCAGGAACACTGGGAAAAGGAAGGTTTCGAACAACGAACAGTTTCAGGCCGTCAATCAGAATCAGTTGATGATCAACCCTGTTTTGCGCCGAAACTTAGCAAGGTTAGTAGGAAGATCGGCTCTACACCTTTGTGCCCAGTGAATATTGCCAAGCCAAGCACTGGAACATGGCCAAGCACACATCTCTTGATGATCATTGGCGCTTTTGGTCACCGGAGTGAGTTACGCCAACGACCCAGGAGTTCAGTGGCCAAAGGCAGCGGACAAACCCGATTGGCAGCAAGCATCACACTGAACAATCCCAACACTTTGCATCCCAAAACGAGGCTTCAGAAAGCAACGTGCAGGAAATGCCCCAAGGATGATCATTGGACATGTGAAGTCAAGCACCACCCGCGCAACTTCCGCGTTGACCTGGCTCTTCAAAGTGACCTCTCGATCTCCTGGTTTTTGAAGGCACGTAGGTCACGTAGGCCTGGAAAGAGGAACGGTCGTCATTCGCACTGGCAACGAAGAAGTAGTAGAGCCTCCAGTCGCACGACTGTCGGACGTCCACGACTTTTCCAAAGCAAAAGCACCTCCTGAATCTTTTTTAACGCCCCACGGCACAAATTGACAAATCCCTGGCGGCAATGGGCATAGAACATGTAGTCACCAACAGGACCCATCGCCACGAGACAAGACCTTGAAAACATGTCAGTTGATCCAACGAGTGATTGAAAGAATCCCGCCTAGTCTAGTGAACGACAGCAGGCAAATTGTGGCAGTGACATCTTTTGCGGCGTTTCTTTGGCGCACAAGCCTACTGCCTACTGCCCACACCCGGCGCCGGACACCCAACGGGGAGTTCGTTTTTTTGTTCTTTTTTCGCCACCCCCGGGCCGGCGCAGACGATGGCCCTGGTGGCCCGGCAAAGCCCAATGTCCACCAGAGGCCAGCGCCAACCCTCCGCCCCGTGCTAAGACCGGGCGCGCTCTCAGACCGACCGAGAGCCGGCACAGGTGGGCTGTAGCGAAGAAGAGCTGCGCGTGGCCTACAAGAAGCGCGCGCTGGAGACCTGGTGTTGCGGATGTTGGGTGATTTGGGATCCCGAAGTGGGTCTGATTCCCTTCCGCCGACTCTGGTTTCTTGATTTCTTCACCGGCTCAAGGAAGCCAACCCCGCTAAAGATGCTCGACTCGTCATGCATTGAGGTGTCTTTGTGGCCCTCCGTCCGGGGCTTTTATTTTTTGTACTGTTTTTTACCCAGATAGCGAAGCTATGGGGTTCTTACTTCAAATAACAATGTGTTGCCCGTGCGCGCTTTCGAGACAGGTTGCTGGTGCTGGGTGCCGGTGCTGGTGCTGCTGGCTGTGCACGTGGTGGAGACAGGTTGCTGGTGCCGGTGCTGGTGCTGGGTGCCGGGTGCCGGTGCTGGTGCTGTGAGCTGGCTGTGCACGCGGTTGTGGGTGTGCGCGTGGTGGAGACAGGGTGCCGGTGCTGGGTGCCGGGTGCCGGTGCTGGTGCTGTGAGCTGGCTGTGCACTTGGTGGAGACAGGGTGCCGGTCCTGGTGCTGGGTGCTGGCTCTACGCGTGGTGGAGACAGGGTGCCGGGTGCCGGTGCCGGGCGCCGGTGCTGGGTGCTGGCTGTTCGCCTGGTGTTTCTTTCTTTTTCCAAACGAAAATGAGCTGGCTTCGCGCAGGGTGCCGGTGCTGGGTGCCGGTGCCGGGTGCTGGTGCTGGCTGTGTTGCTGGTGCTGGGTGCTTTGAGCTAGCTGTGCGCGTGGTGGAAACAGGGTGCCGGTGCCGGGTGCTGGTGCGGGCTGTGGGCGCGTGGTGGAGACACGGCGCCGGTGCTGGGCGCTGGCAGTGCGCGTGGAGGAGACAGCGGGCGCCGGTGCCGGTGCTGTGAGCTGGCAGTGCGTGTGGTGGAGACTGGGTGCCAGTGCTGCGTCCTGGCTGTGCGCAGCGTGGTGGAGACAGGGTCCCGGGTGCTGGGTGCTGGGCTGGGTGGTGGTGCCGGTGCTCGGTGCTGGTGCCCGCTTCTGACAGTGAAGTGATAACAACCGCCACAACCGCCGCTTCTGACAGTGAAGGCCGCTTGCAGCAGTGAAGGGCGACCAAGCGCGGCTTCTGACAATGAAGTGCCAGCAGTCATGGGCCGCATGAACTTATGCACGCAACATCATGCGGTGTTGTCGCTTGAGCGTTCTTTGTCTATTAGCGCTGTGGAGTATTTACACGTCAAGGATATAGAATTTGCGCGCATACTTTTGTACGCATAATGTTGTATGCGCAACGTCAAGCTCTCAACCGACCATGGTTTCAGCGTGTTTCAGCATGCTACACACACAAAAGTCGTGCTGGATACTGCTTGGCCTTGGGCGAGTGAAGCCTACGGGCTTTGCCGTTTGTGCGCGTACTTTTGTTCGCATAAACTTATACGCGCAAGATCATGCGGCCTCATCGTTCTGCATATCGTTGCTTCAAACATGCTACATAGTGGCGCTGGATACTGCTTGGCCTTGGGCCATACGTTGTTATTCCCCAAATAGGGCTAGCTATGGGGCTCTTGCTGCAAATAAGAATGAGCTGGCTGCGCGCGCTTTCGAAAGGGTGTCGGTGCTGGTGCTGGTGTCAGATGATTGTGCGCGCTGTGGAGGTGCCGTATTCTGGCTGCGCAGGCTGCGTACATTCTTGTTCCAGCCAGTCGCATGTCAACAGGTCGTGGGATTCTGCTTAGCTATCTGGGTCTATGCCGGTGTAATTTTAAATCTTTCTCTCTCTCTCTCTCTCTCCTTCTCCCCGGCCAGGAGACGCATCCCGACAAGGGCGGCTCCGTCGAGGAGTTCCGCGCCGTGAAGACGGCCTATGAGGCGCTCTCGAAGACCGTGTCCTCGAGTCCGGTCTCGGCGACATCCAGGTGGGGATGGAATCAGCATGGATGGACAGGTGAAGGGTGGATGGGATGGGAAAAGCATCGGACAGCTTTGAAGAATGTGACCTATTGTGACCTTGTTTTTTTTCTTGTTTTTCCAGTATAGTGATGAGTAGATGGCAGTAATGGCACTGGCACCCCTTCTTTTTGGCCAAGAGGTCTTAGCCACTATAGTCTTTTTGGATGCGGGTCCAGATCCACCACCTTTTTACCACCTTTTTTTTGGCATCCATTGGTTTCAGACACCTTTTGAGTATTGTGCCATCTAGTGCCATCTACTCCGCACCCCCATCCCCAGACGTGTCAAGGGACGCTCAGACGATCGGAACCGCGGGTGGTTCCGATCGAGAGGACGGAGAGACGCAAAGCGGAGCGCATGTGGCGCTCAGGTGGAAGCCATCCACATGTGGCTGTGAGGAACCACCTCCACCAGCCCCCGTGGTAGGTTGACACCCCCGAACATAGGGGAATCTCTTCGATCCGGGCTCGGTGTGCCCGGGCTTTTTGGACTCACATGGCGTGGGCTGGTCCTTCCGAAGAGTTGTTCAATTGCGAAGGCGCCGGTGCTAGATGTGTGTTGAATCCCGTAGCATGTTCTATGTGGGACATGCTCAAGTTGAAAAACAACAAAACACAAGAAAAGACAGCAAAAGCCAATTGGAAGCAAACAATGGCTAAACACTCAAACCGAAACCCAAAAACAATCAGAAAGACGGCATGCTTGTGCTGGAGAAGTTTCCTCAAAAGAACCTGGTGGACGTCGCCTGGTGAAGCGGAAATTCTACAGTATATTGAATGTATTCTTTTCGGAGGTCCTTTCCTGGTGCACCTTCAATTCTTGGTTTTGGGTGTTCCTCCTGCTTTTGCGGGCACACCTGTAAAAACTAGAGAACAATGCAAGTTGTCACTTTTCCTTGCATTCGAGGATTTTCTTGGGTCATTTGTTTGCTGTTTATTGTTTTCTTCTTTGGTACTGCAAAGGCTGCCCTGGTCTTCTTTCAATAGGCCATGTTCCTGGAGAAGAGCCAACTAGCTCTGCTGAACACAATGCCGCTGAACAATTGCCTATCCACCTTCAGCAACTGACAATCATTCTATCATCTGCTGCATTTTGATTTTTTTTGGAGGGCATTTGAAGCCCTTGTTTGCCACCCCATCAAAGTGCTTAGGCCTCCACACCTCAAACCTTTCTTTTGGTGAGTGGACACCTCTGAAACTCTTGGGACCGCCGAGCCCCCCCAGCGCCCCCAGGTCGACGTCGAACTCTCAAAGCTCTGCAGACTCCTTCTTCACACCCTTCACGCGCCCCTTCCCCGACGCCTTCGCGCGGCCCTTTACCGCCGCGCGCGACGGCGAGACGCGCCCCCTCCGGGTGAAGCGGAAGCGCACCATCGAGGAGACCATCGAGATGGCCTTCGCCGGGATCCCGCGGAGGGCCGCGCCGAAGCCGCAGGCGCCCGCGCCGAAGCCGAAGCCGAAGGTCGCCGCGCCGCCGAAGGTCGCGCCGCCCGCAGAGCCCAGCCCGCGGGCGCCAGTCCAGAACAGCCCGCAGGATCCGGAGGCGGCGCAGCTGTGGAGCCAACTGCTGCACCTGACGCCGGAGAAGCGGGCGCTGGCGATCACCGCGCTGCCGCCCAAGAGCAAGGAGCGGCTGACGGCGCATCTGAAGCGGCAGAAGCTGGCGCGCGGTCTGAGTGCAGAGACCAGCAGCAGCTCCAGCGGAACCTCCGAGTCGGAGTCGGAGACAGCGTCCGACTCGGACTCCGAGGCGGCGTGGGTTTTTTTTTTGTCGGCTGGCCGAACATGGTCACCGGCGGATTTGGGTGGGAGGAGTCGTCGTTGCTCGGTGGAGTGTCATGTTTTGAGGGAAGAGAGAGAGAGAGAGAGAGAGAGGGGGAAATCTCTTACTTTTGGGGGATCAACTTCCACCAGATCACCCGGCAGGCAGACGCTGCCGCCACCGTCTCCGCCGCCGTGGAAACCCCGCGGCCGTCGACGGTGGCGCTGACGGCATCCGAGCTGGAGGGCCTGGAGCAGCAGCTGCGGGCGATGGAGAAGACGGACCGGCCGGGGGGCGAGCGGGACAGCTCAGTAGCGGGGACGGTGGACAGCTCAGTAGTGGGGCGAGCTTCCGGTGAGCGGCTTGTGCGATGCAGGAAGAGGCGGAGGGATTTGAAGATTTTGAAGGCCTTGGGGCAGGTGCTAGAGTTACTAGAGTTCTGCATTGAGGAAACTGCAGAGGGGCGTTTTGGCGACGAGTCCGGCCTGCTAGAGAGAGAGGGAGAGAGGTCACTTAAAGTCACTTATTAAGTTATACTGTTATACTGTTTTCAACTAGAACTAGTTAGAATTAGTATGCGTTATTAATTGTGATCTCGCTCCACAACAACCTTGTGAGAAGGATGATGAGACAGGAGTAGCCTCCGAATGCTGCCCACAATGTGTGGACCTCTTTGTAACCTCCATGGGACTGCCATAGGACTGCCGCCCCAGCACGACCCCTCTGGCACCATCGCCGACCGAAGCGCCAGGAGAGAAGGAGCTTCCTCTGCCGCTTGACGAAGGAGACTCGGGTCTCCTTGGAGCCTTGGCCTGGGCCGAGTGGCCAACCCCCCCCCCTGCGCGATTTTGATGATTTTGGGAGTTGGAGGGGAACTTGGGATCAGGAGCTTATTTCTTTGGGGTGACTGTCCTGGCGTGAAGGCAAGAGCCTGTTGGAGGGCAATAGGGCAAATCCAGCATTCAGAGGCGTGGAGATGCATAGAGCTAAGTTACAATATAACCGTGTATCGCCTATGGTTGCCTTTTTTTGGCATATCAGTACAAGATAAAGTAGCATCAGAACATATCAAACAATGATATATTTCCCACGATTTCACTCATTGTTTCTTTTACGCGACATCGTGCATTATTTTATCTTTCCTTCAGAATCCTATAGGGGGATTGTCATACCATCAAATAAATCGCATTGACAATTTTGTTATTGAAATTGATGTAGCCAATTTATATATATATATATATATATAACCAAGAATAGAACACTGTAAGCCACAATATCCCGGGGTGACCCGTTGGTTCGCATTTTGATGAGAGGATTTTGGAGAGGTTGGCATCAGAGCCTGTGGAACCATGACAAACAGTTTGGATGATGAACACTCCCTGGAACTAACAGGGAAGTGGATCGCATGGCCCCACAGGAAGAGCCTTTTCCTCTACAGCAGGATTTTGTTCACTTCCATGTTGGCTCCAGGGAGAGCATTGGTCAACTGTGCAGTAGGGTTCCATCCAAGCCGGTTAGGGGGTGATATGTTGAGTCGCAGTAGTATGGCACCGTTACCATAAAGTTCCGTTGTCTTGCGGTACATAGGGACTAGTGGTCCCGAAGCAGATGAAGGCACGTCTCAAGGGGATTTGCTCGGGAGAATAGGCCACATCATTGAGGACTGGAGGACGCGACCTGCGATATTCCTCGGTGAGGGTGATGCTCCTCGGTGATGACTTCTCGTTCTTCCTGAACCCTAGGAATCCGGGTTTTGAGGGCCCACACACCCCTGCGAAGGTGTCGAGTCCGACCCCTGCCATGGAGAGCCCTAGGATTCTTAGGGAAGAAACACTTTACCTGCCCAAAGGACGACCGGTGCTGATTGTACATTCAGCACCTTGGTCAAGTCCTTTGCTTCAGAACTGAGCGAAGGAGGACTTGCAGGTGATTCACTAACCTTCGCGTGGGTGCCTGAATCCAAGTAGGGAGACTTCCCAGTCCGACCCCCTGGAAGAAGAGAAATCGATCAAAACTGATTGCTTCGGGGCCTCCATCTTCGCAGACACACGCCCCGTCTCTGTCGTCCAACCGTCCTGAGGAGCAGTTCGTTCGCTCGAAGCAACGACCGAAGCGACCTGCTTGACCGAGCCAAAAGTGGTGACGGGATGGAGGATCCAAGCAGCCAGGAAGACGTGGGACCCAACAGACCTGTTTGTGGCCCCCAAGACGTGTTTGGTGTTTCCTACCTGAACTCAGCATTTTGGTGGGGTTGGGGACTGGAGGTTTCTTTGGTTCTTTTTCCTTCTCCGAGTGCCAGCGTATCGTGTGCCCTGTTTCCAGAGACTGCTGGTATCATCTTTCAGAGGTGGAACAAACTCACCCCGCACCCAGAAAAAGGTCTCGTTTTGACCTGCGCGCGCCCACGCGCCCCGCGGATGGTCCGTACTGCCTCCTTGAGCCGGGAAGGCCCATGGAGGACTTGTGCTGCCACATGGAGAAGATCATCGCGGAGTGTCGGGGTTTCCCAGATTTGGCCCCTGCACGGTGGTCCAAGAAGCAGTCGCGGGCGCGGAAGGTGGTGAATTTTTTTGGTGGTTATAACCAGCGCGGACTACACTCATAGACAAGCAGTGTGAAGGCACCTAGATCTTTATCATATCTGTATCATGCAGTTCGAAGATTATATATATATATATCATACAACACAATATGTTGTTTTGCGGACATGGAGTTAGCATATACAGGTGGAGCAATGACCAACACCTGCTTTGACAGAGTCTGCACACGTCAAGGTGTCTCCAAGTCTTTTTTCATCCATTTACTGCTGTCTGCCCTGGTGGGACAGAGAGTTCTGTGCCAAACCGCTGATTGAAAGACCCCCGGCGTTCCTGGAGGGCTCTTTGCCCCCAGCCTTGGCCCGGGCCAAACGCCTGTTTTGGACCCTTTCGGAGTACTTAGGACATTCCGATGACATCCATAGAGATCCAAGAAGCTCCAGCTTCCGCCTCCAGCTGCCTCGCTCGATGCTGCTAGGTAAACCGCAAGAACTCTCGAATGTGATCTACGCGCTGGGCTTGCTCCAGCACAAGGCGCTGCGATGCGGTAGACCACACGGATGGAACAGTTGTCGCAGTGCACAAAGCATCTTCAGAGTCGAGATTGAAAAAGACCGTAGACACGGAGACAATACTGAACTTCAGGAAGGGACTTGATTCATGGTCACAGCTACTGTCGCATTTTGCTGGGCGGGTCAGTTCCGCGTGGGGGCGCTGCCCTGCTAGGAGGCACTGTGGCGAAGCGCCTGCAGTGAGGCACAGCGCAGGTGCGGTTGGGTGGGGAAATGGGCGGTGTCCAAGCGGGAGTAAAAGCTGCTTGGGAAACGAGAGAGAGCGAGAGAGAGAGAGAGAGAGAGAGAGAAAGAGAGAGCTTCTTTAGGGACCACTAGTTAGGTGACTAGCTTGTTGCAGTTTGTCCTTTGCAATCGTTTGTTGTTGCCATCTACGTGCTTTGCATTCAATGTGTAGTGCTGCAAGATCCTTCAGAACTGCACCGGTCTTGCTCTTGAGGACTTTGCCTTCCCTGGTGCCCTCCTTGTTGCAAGATCCTTGATCAACAAACCTGTCCACATAACTTCAGGGGCCCAAACCGCTGAAAAAAATGTCTAAAGTGGATTGAGAGTAGATGGCACAGACTAGATGGGGTTCCTCTAGATGGGGTTCCAATCCACTAAAAACAAAAAACACCAGCACTTCTTTGCAACCGCCGAGTGCTGGAAGCTGTCAGCACCCGTCAGGGCCGAGGAATTTGTGGCCCAGGAGGGGAAGGAAGGAAGGGCTGGTTGGAGCTGTCCAGCAGCGAGGAGGCTCCTGAACCCCCATCAAACACCTCAAGAAACACCTCATCAAATTTGCACCTGGGTGAGGTAGGGAGGCACAAAATGGATCCAAACTGACGAGACGCATGGTATTTTTCACCATCAATAACACTGATCATGACCTTTCTTTGTGCCCCTGTTACGGCCCCTGTTGGGCACCAAGCGCTCCGGACGAGGCACGGCGGGGAGTGTGACCCACACGATTGCCGAACATACCGTCGATGGCAGACATGCAACATCCCGAAGTCCATTACCAAAATGGGAACGATATGGTATTGTTATAGTTAGTGCAAAAGCCTTAGTAAAGCAATGGTGGGCCACAACTTCTAGGGCATCTATTTGAGATAGGGACAGCCAAAAAGCTGCTCTCTTTGCACCATTTTGCACCTGGGTGAGGTAGGGAGGCACAAGATGGATCCAAACTGAAGAGACACATGGTCACCTCCTTTGCAGTTTGAGCCTTGGGGACGGGAGGTAGCTGGTGACTACCCAGACCTTTGCTGGTGACGGGCGTTTCTTCTTGGTTTGTGTGCATTCCATCTCAGATACGTTTTCAGAGTAGATGGCACAATTCCCAACCCTACGTCCAGTCTGACCCAGCAAAGCCTAGTCCTGAAAACCTCCTTGAGTAGTTCTTTAGTTCTTTAGTATAACTTAACTCCAGTAAAATGAGGTCTTTGACCTGTAGGGCAAGATGTTTTGTAGATCGGGGTCTGTAAGAGCCACCTTGTGGGGATTGTGCCATCTACTTTGCACCCGCAAAAAAACCTTGTGTTCTGGCACAGGCGAAGCTCCGCCAGACAGACCATTTGCACCCCCGGTCGGGCGATTTTGGGGCAGTCCAACGTGTCCAATGCGAACAGAGAGGGCTAGCAGTCACTAGCATCCTCCTGCAAATGAGTTGGTGTTTGGGATATGTTGGGATCTGCTAGCGGTTGTCTTTTTTCTCCCTCCACACGAATTCTGGCCACTCTGGAGACCCCGGCGCTTGAAGACACCATCTCAGATAGGCCGACACCCTGGAGGGCAACCCGCAGGAAGCCAACTTGGACACCCTGATGATGCCAACCTGTTTCGCTGAAACACCACCACACCCAACAGGTTTCATACAAGTGGGGGAGTCATCACATGATGAAGAGAAAGAGGGCCAGGGCTTCAACATGTTTCAACCCACCAACAATGCCAGAAAGGATGGTGAGACTTCTGCTCTTCGCTTGTCGGAACTCACCCCATCCAGGACTCAAGCTAGGGCTCAGGGCTGGCGGCATGAGCAGAACGAGATAAGAACCAGCAGGATGTCAGCAGCATGAGCACATCACATCCGAGTCAAAAACCCAACACCGGTGGACGGTACTTATAGAGTTTCCTTGACCTCCGCAGGAGGTTCTGCAGCTTTGAGAAGCTTTGAGTCTATCCACCGAGACTCCGGAGATCGGAGCACCGCTTCTTTGAGATCGGAGCGGGTGAAACCCGGTGGTTTTTCTTGGGGAAGCCCCGAAATACGAGGAAAGCTCCTGATTGTCACGCCGTGCAGCGGGAAGGAAGGTCGGCAAGCAGAGCATTTGGAGTGTTCTCGTTCTCTCAGTGAAGCCATGTGTCCCTAACTGCGTGCGCATGGGCGCGCCAGCAGCGGCGGCGCATGCGGGATGCAGGTGAACAGCTGCCGACCCCCAAAATGGAAGACACGGGACTGAAGAGTGGTGAGTAGAGAGCGCCAGGAGTCATATGTCAAGGTTGTTTTCAGTCCCTAAGTGATTGGATAATGGGCACCCCTATCCTCCAAGTTCGGCACCCCGTTGTGACTGCTGGTGGATGGATGTAAAAACAGCTACCCAGCTACCCGAGGCAACACTGGCGCTCTCAGGTTTGGAAACTCAATGGGGCACAAGACAGCATTCCAACCACCACTCAGAAATTCGAAATCGTCCCGAAATCTCGTCCGCTGTGATGCCCGAAAAAAGCCCCGGCCCCAAAAGCATTGGTGCTGGCATTTTCCAGCACCTTTTTAGCATTTGGACAGCTCTGGCCTTCCTTGGTTTTCCGGGCAAAGCCGTTGGATGCGCGTTTCCGCCCTGGCCGTCTTCGGAGGAGTCCAACACCACCATCTGGAACCTGCAGGTGGAACCCCCACGGACCGAAACACCGGAGGAAGATGGGACCGAGTCAGTCCCCCCCGGGCGAAGGCGGCGGCCCTGTGCGCCTTCGGTCTGTTGCTGCCGTGGACGGCTCGGGGGCAGAGCTGTTGGCATGGCGAGTTCGATGCGTCTGGGCGCGGGGTTTGGTGCGTGGGGAGGGGTTTGGTGCGTGGAGCTTGGCGTAGATGGCCACGAGAAAGCCAAAAAAGGTTGCGAGCCTATGGGCCATAGGGATCTCCATATTTAACAAAAGAACAAGAACATCTTAGGATATCTAGGGTCACTTGTGCCATCTCATCTCAATTTACGGTATTTGATCTCCGCTTTTCATCCAGCCTTCCATGGATTGGGAGCAAGCGAATCTTCTGGGGAGCTGACGGAAATCGTGAGCCAATCTTCCGGCAGATTGAAGATGAGGGTGAAGACACGTGGTATATATAAATCGCCGACAGTATAGCCGACAATCGCCCCATGGTAGCTTGCCCACCTGACACGTCTAGTGGCACCCAGTTCAGTTGCAGGGTTCAGCTCCCTCCATCCAAGCCATTGAATTGCTTGGCCTGGAGGGTGTCTTGTGAGCTCAACCAGCCCTTCGCGCGTTCGTCGAACGAATTCTGCGGCGCGGTTGGTCTCTGCGTCCGTCGTCCAGTCTCTATGCAGTCGTCCCGGCTCAACGGTACGGTCCGTGGACTGAGAAAAGGATTGCAAGAAGGCCCAGAGGTGTTCAATGTGGCTACAGTGGTTTCAGAGGTTCAGTTCGCTTCTTAGCCCAAAGAGGATGTTTTCATTCTTACATTATGGGACTCCATGTCAACCGCCTCTTGGGGATTTTGCCCCACATCTTGAGCTGAAGGATGCAGATAGACTCCCCGGAATCGCCATCGAAGTGGTATGGCACCACCAGTTTGGTACTCAAACCACCATGGTGCATCCATTCGGGGCCATCCGCAGAATCCAATGAAGTGGAGTGCAAAGCAATTCATGCCGGAACCCTAAACCCCTCCAAGGGCTTACTCTCCGAACTAACATGGAAGTGGAGTTCACCCCTGTTTGTAGTGGAAATGGTCTTCCTTTTGGGGTCATTCTCCAGTTCCATGTTAGTTCCAGGGAGAGTAGCGCACTGCACCTGGTAGTCAATCCATCCGCTACCAGGCCGGGCTAGTTCATGAGTCCTGGAACGACTACAACGTTGGAACCCGGAAGCCGTCACTGTGGCAAACAGGGCACCTTCTCGACCAATAGGGGCCGTCCAGTGGCAAACAGGCTGTAAAGTTGGATCAATATGGTTCCCATATTGGGGGGGTGTCCCATTACCTGTCACAGAGGGTCAACAATCATGACGAGGCCTTGGGAGAAAGGCCTTGCAACATGCTCGAAATCTTGAGTAAGAGAATAAAAACTAACCATCAGCCCCAATTCCCATATATAGACCCACCAAAAAGGCACTTTTTCGGCATGTGAAGCATCTCTTGTGCCACCCGGCCGAGGAGCAGCGCTGTTGCGTGAAGAACGACCCGGCCTGCTGGGACGCCCCTTGACGATGTCCGTGCACCGGAGGTGTCCCTTCTCCACTCACTTAGGGACTGAACTCCTGGTGTCCTTTGCTTTGATTTTGATAAATGGGGCAGCTCCTTTTTGGTTCTTGGCGTTGACCACCACTGACTGAACATGTGTGAAGGAATGCAGTCCTTGGCCCCAACTAGGGCGGTGGTGCAAAGGGATCCCACCAACGACCGATGGTCGTTGGGAACGAGTTGTTGGACCGAAAGCTCCTCCTATGCTGCCTGGTGTTGGAACAAAGGAACATCGCTTCAACAGCTTCAACACGCCGCGCTCGCGGAGTCCTTTTCTATCGCATGATTTTGCTCCATCCTTAATCATCCTTTGTGTCATGACACCCATGGTCCCCTTGTCCGCATGAAGGGATTCGTCTTCCACCTGGCGCAAAAATCGAGCGCCCTCCACCCGTGGCGGGCGAGCCCAGCACCGGTCGGACCCCCCGCGCTGCGCAACCCCCCCCCGCACCAGTCGCGCTCGGGACGGAGGAACCGTGAGTGCCGTGCCCCGCGGAAGCTCGGCGGGTTCACCTTCGCTGAGGACCTGTACACGCGCGGCAAGTGTTGCATGGGCAACGAGACGCGGAGGAGTCGCGGGGATCCGACCTGCTGGATGGATGGCTATTCCTACGAGGAGAGAGGGGAGGGGTTTGTCCGACCCGATGTCGGACACCCGGCCCACAGCGTGTGGTTCAATCAGTTGAACTGATCCTTCTTGAATTCCAAGGGTTTGCCATGACCCACTTGATGTCTTGAGCGCCAATCAAAACTGCGATGCCCACGAAACCTGCCATGACCGCAGTAGTAAGTTAGAGGTTTTGACCGTTGCTTGATCTTATTTTTATGGCAATGGAACTTGTAGACTCACACCATGTCTGACATCGTGGTTCATGTTGAAGGGCACCTTTTTGAGCGGTTGGGTTCATGAAGCCGCCAAAGGATGCTGTTGGGCCACTGAGAGTGATGATGATTGATGTTCTTTTCCTTTCTCATCCTGCAGGTCAAGTACCACAAGTAATCCCGATTGGTGTCTGCGGCGTTGGGCCGCGAACCTTGCATGTGGCTTCTCTCTGCGGCAAGGAGTGCTGCAAGGAGAACCCCAAAGACGGCTGTTGGGATGCCAACTTTGGGCCGCTCGGCTGCTTGACACCGGTCACAAAAAGGCTCCCCTTTTGACTGTCTTTTTGACAAAAGGAGGGCCTGAGCGGACCCCAAAGACAGCCTCCTTTGAGCATATTGTTGGGCACATCTTTCCTTGTCAATCGAAGAAGCATCATCTGGGCCCCCCCCAAAAGCCCATTCCGAACGACGCGAACAACCACACCGTAGAACGGCTGTCTGGGCGGGCCTTTTTCACCTGCCCACACATGCCCACACAGCATCAACCTTCACCGGTCCTCCTTCTGGTCCTCTCTTTTCCCAGCGCGGGCGCCCCCAACGCCCCCCACCATCCGGACGGCACCGGCCGAGGCCGGAGCGTTGCTGCGTGGATAAGGAGCTGAACGTCACCGACCTCACGGTCAACGTCCTGGACCGGGTCGGGGGACGGAACCCCGCGGGCGAAGGCGGAAAAGCACGGAACTTGAAGGCCAAAGCAAGGTTGGTAGAGGAAGATCAGCCCAAAGAACAGGTTCGAGCTTCTTTTTGTAGGTCACCATTTTCTTTTAGGGGCGGCTCCTTGGATTTCTGCTGGCCGTTTTCGAGGCATTCACTTGGCACGTTCCTTCAGTGGAAGCCACCAAGTCCAAATCGATAAAGCTCGACGATGGCCATCACATCCAAAAACTGAGAGCCCCTGAAGCTTCTCCTAGAAGTCCAGTTCGACTATACTTTGACCGACTGAAATAAAGGAAGCTCCGAACTTCAAGCCCCCCTTTTCAGACCATTCGTTTGATAGTCGACTGGACTCCCAGAGGTTGCACCAGTCGATCTCCTCCTTGGCGACCCGGTGACCCGAGGAGATCGACTTCGCCGAAGCCTTCGGCCGGATCCTGGCGCACCTGAACGACGACAGCGACTGCGAGGGCGAGGAGTTCTGGAACGACGTGACGCCTGGCGAGCGATTTTTCCGCGATTGTTCCGCCGAGGGGACCTGCGGAGGGCGACGCGACGCGAGGCTGCGCGCGTGACGGTGGGTGCAGCAACGGATCAGGCGTAGAGAGGTGGACAGGTGGTTAAACACCAGACACCAGCACCACCTAGTTCAGGTGATTGATAGATGAGAAACAGGACGAGAATCCGAAGTCTGTCAACCTCAAAAAGGGTTTAAAGCCGAGAACCACCAAGCCGAGAACTGGGCTCCAAGTGCCTAAGAGCAAAGAAGGTCTTAGGCCTTAGGTGTTTGGGTGGCTTTTAGAAGGGGGTCCCAATACCTTCCTTTCGGAGGGGGCTCGGCCGCTCGGACGTCCGGTGCGGAACGTCCGTTGGGTCACCGAATGGTCCGAGGAAGAAGACCGGTGCGGCCTTAAACGTGAGCCACACCTTTGGACAGGCCGGGAGGAGCATCGCCCGGGTCGTTCGGTCTGTTTGTTGGTCCGTCAGTGAGCCCATCAGTTCAATCAATCCGACCGTCCTCTGAGAGAGACCATTCAAAAGTCCGACCCGAAAGAATTTGGAACTGCCCCAAGCCCATCCCTAGCCTGACGCATCAGAAAACACCATTGACCTTTGCTTCCAAGAGGCGGGGAAGAAACCAGAAAAGACCTGGATCTTCCGTTCGTGACCGAACTTGATCCGCTGGTTGGTTCGGTCACGAACAGGCTTGTCAGTTCGGCCACTGGCTGGGAACTCCTGAGTTCGGTCCAAGTTGCACGCGCCCCGTCTGGCGAGTTGTGTGTGTCCCTCCACCCCCACCGTGTTGGCCCCGTCTGGCCAGGTGGGCCGGCCGCCCAATGACGTCATACTGAAATTGGTTTCGAAGCGCCCTGGGCCGAAGGATCCTGGCCGTTCGAAGGGGTTGGTCCCACCAACAGATCTGGAAGAACCCCGAACTGGAGCCAGACTCTCTCAGTTCGGTACCGAAAGTAGAAGGCCCGCTTTTACGGTCACTTCACCTCTGGAAGGACCACAAGAAGTTCTTCCGATTCACGTGTTTGAGATCTTTCGACTCGCGGGGGTGTCTTGGGCGAAGAAACGGATCAGGTTAGGATCAATTTGTCAGGTACCCTTTTGGATTCATTTTTTGGGGCACTGATGCAGCAATCAGACATGGACCTTTAATTGCTTAAGGTATGACTCTCAAATTTACTTGCAGATCTTCCACTAATTGGAGACACGGCACGAACAAGAAATCCTAGATGCTTGCACTTGCACCACTGGACTCACTCCGACCGCTAGATAAAACAATCTGGAACGGATGAAGTCGTCTTTTCAACACCAGCATCTTCATTTGGTCACCTGGGTGGAAGCCCCATCTCACTACTTAGGGTCTCCATTGGATATTTGAACAGGTGAACCGGTGTTCTCCTTGGTTTTTGGTTTCTGACCTTCTTCTAACCCTCCCGCCATGGACTCGAAACCCTCGCCAGTCCCAGGCGCGCGCTCCGCTGGGCGCAGGAGCCGCAGACCTGGCACGCCGATGCCGCGCAGTGCCCAGAGGCGGGTAAGGGGCAGCAGTGAAAAGGCGGAATGGCCCAGGTCTACGGCGGCGAAAGAGGAGGATTTGGGGGAAGAAAGGTCTGAGACAACCGAACCATCGTCTTGGGGGCCGGAATAGGGACCAGACCGCATATAGTAATTAGACTCTTATCAAAAAGGCCGGGCGTGTTGAGCCTCTGAGAAGTCGGTGGAGATTTTTCCTGCCTCAGAGCCCCAGAGCTGCCGTGGTTCGCGTCGTTGGCTTCGCTCGTGCACGGCACGTGTCGGGCCGGCGGTGTCGACGTGGCGAGGGCGCCCTGGCTGCGGTGGACTTGGTCATCTCCGACATCGACCGTGCCCTGGAGCGGTGGACTTGGGGAGGCTGGGGGGGGATGTGGTGGCGGCCATGGGTTGGAGGTGTCCTGTGGATTTGGTGGTGGAGGAGAGGATGTAGGGAACTAGATGAGCCTCAAGGAAGTGTTAAGACCTGCTGTTAAGGTGAGATATTCATCGGCCGCTCATGACAGGCACCTGGACGATCGCCAGGGGCCATGTCCGAAACAGACCCCTGCTCGCACCACGTACCGACCTCAGGCGATGTCAGCGAGGACACCGCTCGGACGTTGGCGGGTTTGCGTCATGCGCTGGCGCAGCGGCGGCCCTTTGCGTCGATGCAGCCGTGGCGCACGCAGGATTTGATGGTGGAGCATGTGGCTTGGGCACCAGCAGTGCATGCATGGCTGCCATGGGCTCGGCCAGACAATGGGGGCCAAGTGGGGCTCCAGTTTACAGGGTTTTCATCGGGTCTTATCCACTGATCCACTTCGAAAAGACACCTGCGAGGTGGTTGTTGGTGCAACCGGGAGAAGGTTTACCGTAGATAGGTGAGAGAACACCCACGGCGCACGCGACTTTTGAAGGAGAAGGCCCTGAGGTGTGAGAGCAGAAAGCCCTGGGGTGACTCACTTTCCTGCAAAAGACCTGAGGGGGAAGGACGTCACCGGGAATGTCGTGTGCATTTACTCCGCAGGGAAAATTGATGAGGTGACTTTTTTTATTGCGCCAGGTTTAGGTATCAGGGGCATTCAGGTGTGTCACGCAATGCGTGCGTCAGGGCGGGGGGGACCTAGAGCTCGCTAGATGGCACCCGCTCCACTCGGGTTCCTGCCATGGGCGAAGCCCCCGCGTTGGTCACAGATCCCTGAAGGAGTAGCCGACTGCATCCTTGCCTTGCTGTTGATGTGTCTCAGTATTTTGGGCTTGAGCTTGTAGCAGTAGTAGTTGTCCCCAACCACCATCACAGTCGCGGCTGCGGTGGTAGTAGCAGTGAGTAGTCGACCGCTTGCCTTCTGTGCCCCCTGTTCACATCGTTTTTCACCTTAGCCTTCCTTTTTTTGGGGGGCATAGCTAGCCGCACACATTCCACACCTTTGCAGACGGGTCTCTGATCCGTCTGATGGGTCTCTTCTTCAACATGTTTTGGTTCAGATCTTCACCATGACGGTGGAGACGGTGCCACCCATGGTTCACGCCCGGCAGGTGCCACGGTTGTATGGCCTGGAGGGACATCACCGCTGTCACGGCAGCAGCTTGCGCATCTACATGCGCCTTGCGCATCTACTCGCGTTGGGTGGGACGAAGCTGAGACGGGTCCCATCTACTCTGAAACCAGGGTAATGTTTGACACAAAGCTGACCCGATGATGGACGTTGTTCTGTCTTTTTTTTAAAGGTTGGTCGTGTCCATTCCAGGTTCTCTAGATCTGGAGGATGCGATTGTTTTAGCTCTTGCAAAACGGGCAGAGTGCGGCGTGGTCATTAGTGGTCATTAGTCAGTACGGCAAAAGTTGCGAAACTGCCAACTCCCTACATTCCTGCCCCATGGGAAATGCCAGTTGAAGCCCAGGTACCAGCTGCCGCAGTACGCTTACATGCTGAAGCCTGTGTTGCGCTGCTCCCAGAAGATGTCCCAGTGTAGCTGGGCAAACTAGCGCCACACTTTGGCTTGAGGATTTCATGGCCATGGGATGCCATGCTCCTTTCCCTGATGCAAAGAGCCGTTCCATCGATGGTTCGAAGTGTGCGGGTTGAGGTCCGTAAAGCAAACCATGTCCATCATGTTTTTCTGAGAGCCACTGTTGCCAATCGTCGGTTGCAGCCAAGCAAAGGCACATACCGAACGCAACAATTGAAGCACCCGGAGTTTGTTCGAACGTGTTCTAAAGCAACGGCCACATATTCCTCTCCCATACCCTCCTACTCACCAACATGGACGTGGAAAACCACCTGTTGGTAGGGCAGAATGGTCTTCCCAGGGCCTATTTGTACTTCCATGTTATATAGTCTAGTCTAGTCTAGTGGGTCAGAGTGTAGCACGTCACTTCCCTATTCAGAGCCACGTCGATGTCATAACTTAAACTTAAACCTATGATGACATCACCATGAATGACAGGGCAGCTCAATGCCCCTCATCAACGGACGACGATCTTCAACCAAAGACGTTCACCGGAGAACAGGCTTTTGGTCTGCCAGAACATATGCGGCACTGTAGTCATACCAACATCGTGGCTGTTTAAACACCAATGGCTGTGTGGAACCAACCCATGCTTTGGGGAGCATACACTACCACACATTTGGGCCCAAGAGACACTCTGAAATTCTGAGATATTCCAAGTAACTTGTTGTTAAAAAGTAAAACTTTAAGACTTAAACTAATAGCAATGGCCTTCAACCCAATAGCGATGGCCTCCAACCTGCTAGCGATGGCCTCCAAAGTGCCAACGGCCGGATGCCGCGGAACTCCGCGTCTCCTGCTCCATTGAGGCTCGGCGTCGGTGCACCTGCACCGGTGGCTGATGAGCGGCAGCTGCCGGACCGAAAGCCCAGAAGAGGCGGACCTGTTCTATTTTCCGGCCTATGAGGCGTGCAGCTTGGCTTGACGATGCCCTCTTCTGCGAGTCCTTTTTTCTAGTGGGGCGTGAGCACGAAGGGTTCTGGAGAAGGAAGTGCGGCTTAAATCATGTTTTTTGAGGGAAGGGTTTTAGGGCTCCACTCAGTCTCAGCAAGTGTTTGCTGGATGAACGATTTTCGGCCGGATTGTCGAGTGCCCAACCGCTGACGGTTCTCAAGGGCCTCATTCTCATCACATCCCATGACGGTTCCTCCCTTTTCCCACCGACTCCAGCTTGCCCACCCCCTTGCTCACCTACCCCAGCCAACCCCGTGAAGCCTCCCCCACTCCACGCTGCCTTCGTGATCGGCGCGCGCGACCCGCGGCGCCGATCGGCGCCCGAGGCTACAACGAGACGGCCTGCTCCAGCGGCGACACGGAGCGGTGCTTTCCACAGAGCTTCGACCCGGAGGAGTTGCCCTTCTTCCACCGGCGCCCGGGGCTGAGGCGACGGACGCACGAGGGGCGGTAGAGGATGGTGGGACGAACGGAGAGGATGGTGGGACGGGTGCAGTTAAGAAGTGTGGGGTAAATAGCTGTTTTCTTGTGTTCAGGACGGCCGGGGTGGGGCAGTCTGGCACCTTTCTTGGAAGCTTTTTTGGGACCTTGGACCTTGGATGGGGATCGTTGTTAGAACCTGGGTGGGACGATCTTGTACCTACGATCACTTGTGAAGCACATGGCGTGTTCTCTAAAATAGTGAGACCCCGTCCTCCGCGGCCGTCACGCCTGGAGTGTCGCCTGGACCAGCGTCTTCCAACGCCTTTCGACCGAGAATGAGGTTCAAGAAGCCCTCGAAGCTCCTGAGGTGGTTCAGCCTGAAGGCGGTTCATCCACCCAACGACTCCAGAAATGAACCACCCGGGTCAAAACAAAAACGTGAGTGTTCCCGGGCCAGGGCAGACCTGGGCTACAAGCTTTCCGTCCGATTTCGGGATGATTCGTGATGATCTTGATTCCTTTTGACTTGATCAAACGTGTTAAGCAGGTGCCGAACGTGGTTGGGCTGACCCACCAAGTGCATACCACCGAGCCAGCCGGTGCGCGCGAGTCATGCCATCCCTCTTCTCCACCTAAGGAGGGGAGGGCAAGATCACATCTTTGCACCTGGGCGGTGGGTTTCGGATGTTTCAGGTGTGTGTTTTTGGTCCAGATCTTTTCAACCTCAATACATTGGGATGTGTTGAGTTCCTTTTTGAATCAAACAAACAACGCCGCGATGTTCAATACATTTGAGCCATGAGTCAAAGGAGTCAACTCAGATATCTTTCTTGTTTTCGTCGACTCCATTCGTTATTTATTGCGTTTTTGGCGGTGGCGGTGGTGTTTTGCCGGTCGGTGGCGCGGGATGCTTCGAGAGAAGCACCGATTTGGAACCACATGAGCCAGTGAGGTCACTGGTGGAAGCAGGAGTTCTGAATCCTCAGTTGGCCCTTGGAGAGGTGTTCTGTTTTGAGGGAGGGGACCATGGGTGACCAGATCGATACAGATCGATACGGGGTGACCTGTGACTCTCTCAGGTCTTTGCTTGCAACCTCTTGCCGTTCATGGATTTGATCTCCATTCGCACCAGGAGAGCGGCAAGCCGGTGAACACATGAGACTGCCGCGGAAAACTCCATGAGGATGTCTCCAGAGACTGCCGAATTTGGGCCGGCCCTATGGTGAGAGCCCAGTTGTGCGTAGGGCGTCGGTCAGCCACTTCTTTATCTCAAGTTACAAAAGGCATTCCGACGTAATGTAGACTCTTGATTGAACAACCCTTCCATTTGAATTGAACATCCTCTTCATAGGTGTATGAATCAAAAGTCTACATGATTCCAACCAGTCAGACCGCAGTCAGACTGGAGGGGGGTCACCCCATCTATACCACCGCGGGTGCCACCCACCGTACCGGTGTGTTCCGACCGACCCGACGTTCGACCCGACCGGCGGCGCCGCCGTGGGGCCAGGAATTCGATCATGGTCACCGTGGAGTCCTTCCAGGCCGTCAACGTGGCAGGGCCCAACATGCTCGCCTGGCTAGCCCCTCGTGCGCGCTCGGGTGTCACGGAGGGAGGAGGGTTGGAACGGGGTGTTGGGAACAGGGGGGGGGGCGGTGGGTTTGAGTGGTGGTGGTGCAAGACTTGACGAGTTTTTTCTAGTACACTTTTCCAGTGCTGCCCTCCTTGCAGCGGATGGCCGCTCTCGGATGGGGTGAATCCTTCTGGATGGACCGAGTCGTGCATCCGTTCCGTTCTCCTCTTCGCTTCGGTTTTCGCCCGTCCGACGTCCGACGCCGCCGAGTCGTGTGCGATCGGCTCGGCCCGGAAGTCGGACGAATCGACCCTTCGACTGCGAATACAGAGCTCCCATGAGGAGAAGCCAAATAGCATCATGATTACAGTGGTTTCAGAGGTTCGATGGCTCTCAATCCACTTATATTATATACACCTCTTACACACCACCAGCAGTTCGAAGGAATCCAGGCTGCCTTGATCACCTGACTTCCTCGCTCACCCTTAATCCCATGCGTGGGGGGCGTTTTGCACCCGAACGGAACTCCAAGAGGGCGTACGTTCCCTGTGTTCCTTCTCTTGATCTCCCTGGCGTCAGAGGTGTGGAGAGGGGTGTAGGTGTGTGGCACAGTGTGGCAGGTTGGACGGACCGTCCTGAGGTCTATTCCAAAGATGTCTTGATCCCAGGCTACATCCCAGCTTGGCGCTCCTTGGCGGTGTTTGGATGGCGCCCGGTTGGCTTGGCGGACTGTGTGGACTGGGAGATCCCTTCAGTTTGGATTGCAGTATCACTGGGATCTTCAGGCAATGGCAGAACCGGGCCTCTTCTCATCCTCTTGGACCCCGGAACGTCATGCATGGAACAGCTTGACACCTGCGTGCGGTGCTCGAGCGAAGCGAAGAAAGAATCCACGGCGCGTGCTGCGAGACGGCAGGTTTTTTGGGTGCATAGCAGGTCTTTGCCGGTTCGCCTTCAGTTCGACCATTCAAAGAATGGGAACGACCAGGTGGCGTAGTGGTCTCAAATCCTTGGTAAAACCATGGTTCTTTTGGGATCTAGACCATAAAAGCAATGGGTGGCCACGAATCCCGGGGTTTATGTTTGATGACAACGAACCCGGTGCTGTCCTGAAATGACTGCCATGTGTGATGGTAACCGGTAGACGGACCAGCACTCCGTGGCATCCGTGGGTGGGAGAAGCTTCCGAACGAAAACCACGGATGGCCCGGATGGCGTAGGGCTTCATTGTTGGAGTCTCGGACTTCCAGCTCACAACTTGCAACTTGGACCCTCCACCATCTTCCCACCTCCCGCGACCAGATGAGTGCAACCCGGGACACGGTGAGCCCAAAACCCCGCCCTTCCACCCCGCCCTCCCCCGCGCAAAACCTCGCGCGCAACCCGAGGGGTGTCTTCCATGGTGGCTTTCTGCCGGCCGATGATCGAGCGCACGATCCTGGCCACCTTCCACGGCCACTCCCGCAGCAGCGAGAAGGCGCGTTCGTGTCTGTTCGCGGAGACCACCGAAGGGGCGGCAGACGAAGGGGTCGGTCCTCGTGGTTTTGGCTGTTTGTTCGTGGTAAAAGGGTCAGGGAAGTGGATTTTGGGAGGGAGCCTGAGAAACTTGTGGAGAAACCTGTGGAGAACAAGGCTGGGTATCATGTTGGGAAGTAACAGGCCAGTCTTGGAGAGGTCGGAGTAGGGCGGACCTGGACGTGGCAAAGGGAGGTTGAACAACCTCAACCACTTTGGTGGGTGGATCTGTTTGGGGAAGTCGCTTACTCCTCCAACGCGATTGGACGTCAAAGGTGATGGGGGTTCCTTGCCGGTGGAGTCTCCTTGAGCTGGGTCGACCAAACGTCTTCTGTGTGCACCCTCCATTTCGGGAGGAGATGGTTGGGGTGAGTTTAGCAGGTCTGTTCTGAGGAGGTGGTGAGGTGGTTGGTGGTTGGAGCCCTATAGGATTTCATGAATCAGAAGTCAAGGTTGGCGGTGATGGCCATCACAGGGCGTGTCCAAGCACTCTTGATGGAGAAGAAATGCGACGCCACTACAATGAACCACTCGTGACTCCCTTCAGTACCTATAGATATGTACTATAGATAACCACAAAGATATATATATTATTAACCACCAAGCGTACCGACACCAGCGAGACCACCTTCGACCGTTCTTCATGCCACCTCCGGGCGCCGGACGGCGACCATCGCAACCGGGTCGGCTCGGTGCCCGCCAGCTCGGTCCGACCGAGTCTCGCGCGAGACTCGGAGCGCAGCAGGTGGGGCATATGTACAAGAGGAGCTTGATGTCGGAGGCCTGAACTGGACTGGGAGTCCGCTTCGGTCGAGGTCGAGGTCGGAGTGCTTCGGGCACGTGGCCAGAAATCAACGGCGTAGGAGACGATGCGTCGCGTTGAATTCAGCCGTTCAGGTGCGATGCCTGGGTGCTAGAGGATTGAAACTGAACAATTACCAGGTCGGAGTAAGAGAACGCGACTCCAGAAGAACAATTTATACCAGGACCTTTCAACAGGTTGTTTTCGGACACCCCTTAACCTCTAGGAGGCTATTCATAGGCAATAGACACCTCTTGGAGGTGCTGGTATATATGATTTATAGTATATGATATGTAGGAGGTCAATCTTCATGAGAGGTCAGGGGCAGTTGATGGATTGCCCCGAATCCCAAGCACGGCCTGGCTTCGACGAATCTCATGTCCATATCATTCCATAGCCATCGAAGCAGTTAGCGCTTTGTGCTGGACCCGTGCTTTTTCAGATATATACCCTGGGAGTCAAAGACTATACAAAGATTGGTCTTTAGGTGATCCGAAAAGGCATGTCCTCTTCTTCAGCCGGTCAAAATATGGTCTTTGGACTTCTAGGGTATATATATATATATATTATACCTCTAAAAAAAGACAGGGTGCCACAAGAAGGCAGGAACTGTTGGGTTCAAAACCGTTGCAACTCACTTCTATCGACTCATCAGGGTGCCCTTCGAGCGGCTGTGGACATCGGTGGTAGACCAGAACTTCCATCATTCACCCTAGAAGTCGTGGCCCACCATTCTTTTAACAGCCGGGTCATCCCGGTCCCAACCATTGTTTCACTAAGGGTTTGAACACCAGATCAACCAGATCAACCATTTTAAAAATGGTCGACTTGACTTCCAGGGTCATCCAAGGCCTTCCAGGTGACCTGCGACAAGGAGTTTCCACACTGCGCAGCCCATGAACTCGCGCACGCGGGATGTGCACGAGCCCAGCCGATGGGGTTGGCGCCGCCCACGGGGAGACGGTACTATCTCACAGTTCGTGAGGCTCCAGAAATGAGAGGATCTAGGGCTCCAGTCGTACCTCCTCAGATTCGGTATGACAGGGGACCCTCCTGGCACCCACCCCAGTCCTCCTTCGAAACAGAAGCTCCGACTGGAGCCCCAACACCACCCCGTCCGACCCCTTTCCGGACGCCCGGCCTCGACGTACGCGCGTTAGGTGCGGGATCGGATCATCAGCTACTTCGGGCAGAACTCCTGCTGCTCCGCGGGCCCTCCTGTGCGTGACTACTTCCGGCGCCCCGACGTGCAATGGCCGTCCACGCGCGTGGAAGAGTGCGTGGCGGGTCGCAGACCGTGGAACCATGGGAGGAGCGGACGGAGCATGGGAGAGTTAGCGTGGAGACCATTCGCATCTTTTCGAGGTGAGGGGGAGAGAGCGTGGGTAGCTATCCACTGCCAGCAAGGGTAGAGGGTGATGTGCCAAGACACGGTTGTCCCAAGTCATATTCTGAAATCACCGATGAGAGAGCCTCTAACACCTGGTACTTTGTGCCCTCCAACAGGTGTTTCGTGCTGAGACCAGCAACCTGTGGGAGGGTCCTGGCCCCCAAAAGAACACAGGGACCGCAACAAAACCTGGTTTTGGCTTACTTAAGGGCATAGAACTCCCGGGGCCTAGCCTAGGCATAGGCCTATCCTAGGCCCATGCCCACCCTAGGCATAGGCCTATCCTAGGCCTATGCCTAGGCTATCCATATAGGCCTATC